CATTTGCATGACGTAGATGGTCAAGTTCAAGCGACTTAAATTCATCTAAAAGCGAATTCCACGCGCACATATCCGGAAATTCTCACAATTATGGCTACAGAAATACACAAACAACAGATCACAGCTTCTTCCATTGTGGTTTGCCATGTAGCCAAAGTTGTATGTATTCAGCTACCAAATTGCCTGTGCACTTATTAGAAGCTGAGTACGAAAAGTGTGTCAAAAAAGTGAATTTTGAGAAGTCTATGCAACGAGTATGTAATAGAATTAGCTTGAACCTACCCGCTCACAAAAAATCACAGCTAAAGCACAGGTATTTGAGTTTTTAAGGAGCTTCGAAGTTATATGCCAAGACAAAATCATTTGTTAGCTAACTTAATATTTTTGGAGTACATGTTCAATATCAAGCAGCAAATCTTTACATCGTCTCCAAAACCGTTTTGTGTTTCACAACTTTTCTACTGCCGAACTCAAATAATCTGTCAAACTTGTATTCTAAAAAATTTTGTAAGCTTTTCAAGGGCCCCGGTGTTTATATGGGATGAAGGAATCTGTACGTTATTGAAAAACACAAATATCTTTATCGGCTTTTTAGTGAATTTTAGCTTTAGATTTAGGAAAATGTGAAATGATCTGTCAAGTTGAAACTTTTTCTATTTATGGCTTCTTATCAAAAATCGTCGTCGACTAGGAATAGGGAACGAATGGAGTCCAAAAACATTATTTACACATGCAACATCTTTGCAGTGACGCAGCCAGTATCCATCTGAGAATTACAACCAGAAAGATTTAGTGCAGTGTTGAGCTCGTCCTGCATTCCTGGTCAAACACCGAAATCGGAAGCAGCAAAAACAACGTTTCCATGCAAGCGCTTAAGTTCTGAGTTTGCGCATTTGACCGGTTCCTTTAGTGCCCGAGACGAAGTCTTGTTGTGAACAATGGCCTACGGACAAGTTACGCCACATATTTTCGAGCCTCGGGCGTGATATTTGTTTAGCGGGCAAAACTGGGCCAGTAAGAGCGTGAAAAAATTAAAGTCATTTGAACAAAGTTATCATTGCTCGTTTTTTCAAGGGCGCAATTTTTTTTCTTTTCTCGTACAGGAATAAATACAAACCTAGCAAGGATTTTTTCTTTTCTGTTAAACCGGGATTTGTAAGGTTACCAACCACTCGCCGCTACGCGGTAGGTTCGGCTGATGAAAACTTTTTCAGGCAAGAGCTGCAAAAAATCAATAAATCAATAAGGGCAATTCGTGTATCGCGAACAAAAAGGCTCAACATAAGTCCCACTCGCACATTGTGTCTGCCAAATTAGGTTTAGATTTCATGGATCCTTCTATCCTTTTTGATCGAATATAAAAAATTTTCTAAGCAAAAACCGCAGATTTCTATAAATCGAAAGGGCAGCCCGTGTGTCCCAAACATGCATTATGTCTGCCAGATTTGGTTCAATTCCATGACACCTTTTATCCTTTTCTGGGCGAACACAGAAAATTGGCTAAGTCAAATATTGTATAAGTCCAATCATTTACGAAAAAAGCCATATCGAATCAGCTCAACGATTACCGAAGCATTAGTGCAAATCGATTACATTTAGTTTACGCCTTGGCCACCACCTTACCGTGCAGTAGATTTACTACAATATGAAGCCGTTGCGGCGTCAGCAACAATTGCGCGTGCGAGATAATCACGGGGTAGGAAAACTTGTAAAGTGTGATACATGACTTTTGTTTGCGCGCAAACTCTCTGCATTACAAGCACTTACAAGCATTAATTTGTTCCCGCACAATTGTTGATAATACCGCATGGGCACTAGAATCCGACAAAGCTACTAGACATCATCGAATGAAATTACTAATGTTCCGAATTATAGGCGGCCGCGGTCTCACCCGAGACTCCAAGTTAGTCTAGCTAACAAAGCGTATGTGCTTGTGCTTCTAAACTTCTTTTACCAAGCGCGAGCGCTTTGAGACGAATTGCCGCATACTCCCGACCTTGGGATTGAAATGACATGGGAAAAGATTGGGTAAAAGCAACAAGCTTTCAGTTTTCTATGTAAGTAAACAAATCAATAAATCAATAGAGGGCCAGTAAATTGCCGCGAAAAATAGCTTCAGCGCCGCTGTCAAAAACATATGTGCGCAGAGTTTCAGCTCAGTTGGTTCAACGACTGGCGTTAACGAACGAACAACTACTGAACATCCTTGCAGGGTTTGGGTTTCTTTGCTACGTAGATCACCGAAGTATCAAACCATTTCACCTATCCTAAGTATTGTCTTTAGTGCCATTTGAAATCTCTCGGTAGGTTCATCCTTCGAAACCATTGTGATGTCATGAGACCGGCTGGTTTCATATTTTCTGTTCTTCTCTTGGCGTACCATGAGTATCAGACAAATAAATGAGTAGATAAACTACCCACTGTTTTCTAAAACAAACATTTCCAACAACAAGTCTGCAAACAAATTTTTATCAGACGTGTAATCACTCTCGAAGACAACGGTTCTTTTGCTTGATCCGCTATCAACGACATGTAAGTGCAAGGATTTGCTTTGTTTGAGATTTCATTGCAGTGCGCACGAGTCGTTTCGGCTTTCGATGCTGGTTCCAAAATTAGAGAGCTCTTTAAGGAAAAAAGCGCCCAGTGTTTTCATTCACTGTCAATAGTTTGTCGATGAAGCACGCTTAATGCGACCGTGGGACCTTGCTCGTTTTAAGGACGGGAGCTGACACTGGATTCCAGGATGATAACTGGGGACTCTCAAAGCTTTGAAAAACTTGAAAGATTGAAGGACTGAGGGCACATATTCAAGATATATAGGTGCATGGCTCTGCATTCCTTTCAAAAGATTTGAATCGATGTAAGTTTTGAAAAGAGTAATTACGTCTGAGATCGGTAGATCGTACTGTTCTTCGCGTGAAGAGAAAGCATGAAATTTGCACCAGGTGTGACTTAATCATATCTCTTCTTCAAATTACTGATTTTGGCGTTAAGCTATGCTTTGGTCATGTAAGCTATGATACAAATATCTGGCAATGCACTTCCAGACTCAGTTGCTCGCTCCCTTATATAACTTTGATAGTTCTTATTTTCAACTTCAATCACACGTTATGTGTGCAGTTTGTTATCAGCCCACCCGAAACATCCTCCTTCCTTTAAGTTAGGCTTCATCTTAGAGATAGCAGTTATATTGTTTTTGTTTTGTCTGCTGTTAAGTTGTTGAGTAGTTGTTGAGTAGTTGGTTTGAAATCAAAGCGTTATAAAACCGAAACAGTTCGATGTTCGAAGCCAACTTCGAATGGTGTCCAAAATCTCAAAAGTGGAAGAGACTTGCGACAAACAGCGTGGCATGCAATTTTCATCGAAATATGTACCGACGGAGTTTGTATGCATTTATTTTGGGTAGGCTGTCTTCCTTCATATATCTAGGCTTTGTAGACAGGTTAGGTTTTTTATGGTATGTGTATAAGTCATAGAGCGAAGTCATGAGATGCACGTAGCACCATATTTTAGGATATCGTTTTCATGTGCGTTGGTTTTGATTGATTTCATCGCTGATTTTAGCCTTTTCCATCTCTTATTGTTTGTTCTCTTTTCTGATCTGCATATTTGACTTCTCGCAGTTTGTCAAACTTTTGATCAACCACTTCATCTTCAAAGTTCAACTGCTGAGTTCGAGACGCGGAAACATCCGCCCGTTAGTGATATCCTTTCTTCATTTTCTTCATTGCTCTTGATATGTACTTGTTTATCTTGATTTTCCATGTTTGCAGTTGTCTTAATCCTTCTTTTGAAGGAAGGTCTATTCTCTTTCGTCTCTTTTAAAAATGCTGCCCTTTCCGTCTTATACCGTCTCAACTCGAAGGTTCTGTCATATGATAATAACTCAGACAGCGGATCGGACCCCTCCGCCGGAGAAGTGGCAGGGTCGCGGCGTATCCCCAGCGGTGGGTCTCCCATTTGTCCGGCGGAGCCCTCCCATTTTCTGCTCCGGATACCTCCCATTTCTGCTCCGGATACCTCCCATTTTCTGCTCCGGAGACCTCCCATCTTCTGCTCCGGATACCCCCCATTTTCTGCTCCGGATACCCCCCATTTTCTGCTCCGGAGCCCCCCGATTTTGTGCGCCGGAGCCCCCCGATCGCGGCATACTGTAATTAGCCCTAATTAAAGGCAGCTTTCAGGCAGATCTGGACCTATGGGGCTTTTACATGGAAAGTATTTTTGGGGCCCTAACTAAGGCACTGCCGAAGCAGCAGTTCAGGTAGTGCTCTAATGGCGAAGATATTCCCCTCGAAACAGACCCCCCGCGAACGTATTCGCATGGATTCATGGCAGTTTCGCGCCAGGATCCACGCTTTGCGGCATGAATCCATGCGAAACACGGTCGCGGGGTCCGGTTTCGAGCAGAATATCTCAGGCGTTAGAGCACTACTTGAGCTGCCGCTTGGGCAATGGCTTAGTTAGGGCCCCAAAAGTACTTTCCATGTAAAATACCCATAAGTCCAGACTTGCCTGGACGCTGCCTTTGAGCTCCAAACCCCAATTTTGTCTCTAAACCCCACCCAAATAAGCCGAATAGGACCCCCCCCCGGGTAGGAGTTTAGCGCGACCCTCACCCCGTACTCTACCCCCTCCCTCTCACCCCTAGCGTTTGTGGATAGAAGATAGAAGAAAGAACGAAGAGATAAGACATTTATTTCAAATTTTTCAAACTTAAAAAAAAATCATCTTATATCGTTAATCATTTCACACCCACTGGTGTAAAAGAATGAACCTTTCCAACAAGACAACGGTTTGTGGAACAGTTTAAATTGCAGTCGCAGTTATACCAATAAGAGTACCACTTTTCAAAATCATCTCGACGATATTTCTGCATGTAGGGCTAGAAACAGCGCATAAGAAAAAGATTTGTACAACGTGAAAATCGGATGCGCACGTCATATCAATTTCTACGGTGTCTGAACGGCATTTACACAGAACAGCATTCTTTCCGAAATCTATCCAACGATCTGTAGCGAAATTCGCGTTTTCCGCGATATTGTAACCCAAATTAAAACCCATATGACAACCTTAAAAATACAGTATGTTACTAAATGAATGGCTGTGGAAATAAGCGCTTACATGAGGGAATGTTATGATGAACTCATTAGGATGCTGCATCATCGTCCCATATGGAATCCTGTGCATATCCAAGAGAGCCGGAAGTACAGAGAAACTCTTGTGTCTCATGAAAGCCTAAGCACATAGTACCAAAGTGAAATCACCAGGTAGCTGGTTATAATACCCACTTTACAGTGGCGATCGTATGTAGGAAACTGCTGCCGCATGAGCCTTTCGAAGCGAGTTGCAGCTTCCGGAGGTACGGCAAACCAGTACTAGAATTCCAATGCCGCGCAGATGTATGCTAATAGGGAATGACCAACTTTTGGAGCTCCATAATGAAGATAATTAATGGAGTAAAGCTCCATATCCTCCACATGTCATGCAAAAGATGCTCCATACATACCGAAGTAAAGATAGACAGTGGTAACTCCCCTAATCTCCTGAAAAAAAAACTATAGTATTTATCAGAAAAAAAGATTTTTGATCACAAAACAAATTTTTCCTCCGTTGAGCTCTTTGGTTTCATCCAAAATGGGCTAGAGTGTATACACAATTCATGACAGGATGCTACCCTGAGACGATGACGAAAATTTTAGAGTTCGAAAGTAATAGGAACTTTCTAATAGAAATGAAATGCACAATTAAGATGCTGCCTCTTCTGCAGATTGCGCTTCGGAGTGCTCATTACTTTGACTGAGTTTTTTCTGCTCATTAACGATCGTCTGGACAACTTCATTGAAAGAAGTTGGAGTAGCATAGACGTGATGTCCTGCACCGCGAATAATCTAAAACCAAGCATGACATGCAGGTAGTATGACGTTTAAACCTACCTGTACGTCTACATATCGAAGTTGAAACACAAAAAACAAGGCTATCAGGTCACAAATAGCGTTGATAAACTAGAACCGTCAAGTTCAGTCGTATGGAGTCAAAAGGACAGCCAAGCAATGGTAATATTTCGTAATATTTCCATCCAACACGGTTTAGAACACGAAAAAGATTTCTGAAGATGCTCTCAAAAAACCTCAAAGCTCAAACTCACTTAGCAACGTTAGTACTCGCCTCCATTTCGTGTCTTATGTCATGAGGTAATCTCCTGAAATACAATATAGAGACGAAATTTCAAAACATGTAGGACAGTGCACAAGAGTAGCAAAGGGTATTGATTAGAGTGCATTTGAAGTAAACATCCGAAAATGGCCGGACAATGCGAGCTTTGTAAATACGAAGGCGATATTGTTTTGGCTTTACAATCAGATTGAGCAAGTGATTCTGCATAATCAAAAGTAATGAAAATGAGTTGCTCTAGTGAGTTATTTTTGAGGAAACCCAGCAAGCGCCTAAGAAGCTTGGATCAATATGAATCTATTGTCCGTTATCCTGATGAACTCCAAAAACATTTCCAGTAATGAACCAAGCTTTTCCGTTTCTAATACCCTGATGTGAGCTCCTATCGATCGAACTCCTACAAAGTGAAATCTTTCGTGTAATTACGACTGCAAATCAATATCTCTCATGCAATTACGACTGGTCAATCAATTTCCGCATCTGCCCGCAGTTCCCCAAGGGGATGCAGTAGTTGAAATGGGCAAACCATCGACCGCGATTTCTCTATTTCGAAAACACAAATAGTGCAATCAATAGGTGGTAACGAAAGTTTGCAAGTAGAACTGATGCTCAGAAACTTTGCTTGACTTCCCACTTTTACCGAGACACTCTGGCGGATATAACGTGAAATAATAATAGCATATTTGCTAAATACGCTAACGAGGTATGATTTGAAACAAGCATTAGCGCTGACAACGCTCCGCCACACGGGGATTGCGCGCGAAAACAAATGTTGGAGGAGGTAGCAATAAACGGATAATTTAGACGATATACTTTCATCACAACAACACTAGATAGTTGCGCACTAACCTCATTGTTTCGAAAATCCAGAATTAATCACAAAAACCACTCCATCAACAGTCTACGATGTCTCAGCAAGTCGGAAAGAGCCAAACACTGAAGGTGGTTGAGTGCAACCGCACGAAAATTTCAAACATAAACCTGAAAACGAGGAACTTACAGCAACATAAACGCCAACGCGACGAAGAGCAACGCGGAAAAGGAAAAACCGTAAAGAAACGCGCAAAAACAACAGAATCAAAGAAACGGCGACTAAAATATGGACAAAGAGCGTAAACAGAGGACTCATCACCGTGGAGTTTGGTCGTTTGCTTGCTACGCGCCAAATCGATACGCAGCCTGCTCCGGATACCTCCCATTTTCTGCTCCGGATACCTCCCATTTCTCCGGCGGATACCTCCCATCTTCTGCTCCGGATACCCCCCATTTTCTGCTCCGGATACCCCCCATTTTCTGCTCCGGATACCCCCCATTTCTGCTCCGGACCCCTCCGATTTTCTCCGGCGCGTGTCTTCCAAATTTGGCGGACACGCGCCGCGCAGACCTCTGCGGCGCGGAGCCCGTCAAATCTGGCAGAGTCGCGCCGGAGAAATGGCGGACCTTTGCAGCAGGGCCGGAGAAGCCTCCCATTTGCCTGCCAGTGATGCCACCGCGATGGACCGCCCATTTGCCCTTCTCTCATTGGTCAACTGGGTCCGGCGCGACCCTGGCAGTTTCCGAGGGTCCGGCGGAGGGGTCCGATCGATTGTCTGAGAAGGGCGACAAAAAAATTGCGTTTGCTAGAGCCTGCGACAATAGCATTGGAGCGTTTCGCAAGTTTGCATCTAAGAGCATCACAGGCCTGTTTCAGGACTTTCTGAAAATTCCTCCCTCCTGAGGAAGAATGCTCGTGGTAGACATGCTAGCAGCACAGAATTTTTCAGAGAATGCATAAAGAAACAAAACGTGACAGTAAGTTTGTTGGTTTTACTGCCGGAAGAAGAAGATTATTATTGAGAAAAGCTTTGCTTGTACCATCGCTTTTATCGCATTCGATACAAAGTGACGTGTGTGTGGTTTTCTGGAATAGGAGGGGGAGCCTCAAGAATAACCGTCTGGATACAATTATTCTTTTCTGCACCTCCAGGCGCAATTTCCGCTCGCTACAAATTTGCCGCTCTTTGTCGCCTTTGTTATCGAGGCATTTATTGGAGATTGTAATTTGTAGAAAATTGTTGATCTTCACTCTTGTGCTGACAATCGGGAAAGCTCGCTTTCCAAGCCAAGACAAATTGGCGAAAATTTTGTTTCCGAAATGCAACCTCCTCTCGCTAGCAATTATAGCAGTTTTGCTCAGTTGAAGTCTTTCAAATTGGCAAAGATAGTTTTTGATTGGACCCGTGATTACTTGGCTTCCATTTTGCTTTACATAACTTTTTTATGTGAGGTACTCGCTCGGAATGAAAGACACTGCATAGAGACTGTGCAAATATATTTAGCAACATAAATTACACAGGATGAACAACTGCGACGATTCCATAGATAGACTCAGTCAGGCAGGAAATCGTCTTTGCCGACAAGAATTCATTCCTGTTCGTGCCAGACAGCGCATTTGTTCGTGACGTAGCAATCTTGCTCCATGACTTCTTGTCTAAGGAAGATGCGGTGGACCAGCCACGGTCTTTCCAGCAATCAGAAACTAGCTGACGGGAGATAAACTTACTGAATGCAAAAAAGAAATTGTTCACAAACGAACACCGTCCGAACACGTTTTTCAGCTTCTCAACTTTTTGAAACATTCTGGTAAACATGCACTCCCACTCGGATTACCCCTCTATAGTAAAAGGAAACCTGCCTGATTGAGATTGCTAGGAAATTTGTTGCGAAATAATTGGCATCACTTAACTTCCAAATTTCGAACAATGTTGAAAACTCGTACCTATAGTTACAAATGGCTGCGAAGTGCGCGCCCCATGCTCCGATGCAAATTTGACCGGCGCGCAGGGGTTTGCTTCGGAGCGTGCAATTCAGGCACAGATGTCTACTGTTTGAGCTACTTACAAGGGAAGTTCGCCGAATCGAAATGGCCGATTGATACGTGGTATACACCCGGACGCGGGGCTCGGGAGGTTAGTATCAAATGTGCGCCCATTAGCTGCGACGCGTTATTGTGAAGCAAGTTATGGCCCTCTAAAGTTTTTGGCGTGTGCATGTCTAGAGAACGCACAAATGCTCCGACTGTGGTCGTGTGGTGTAGTGGTTAGCGTCTCGGACTCACAGGTGACCGGTGAGGGTTCGAATCCTGTTGCTGTCCACATGTTTTGCGTTCTTCTCAAAATTCATTTTTTACCTGTTCATGTATAATAAATAGAGTTAAATAGTTTTTACTGACGTAAAAATTGACATATACGGGTGGTTAAACTTTATTAATTATACATCCTGCCGTGTCATTCTCACAAGGTAGCCCATTAGCAAGAATCAATAGTACGACGTGATACAACATGGAGATTGTCACGTAAATACTACGTGCAATCGAAGAAAGTATGTGGGAGTGAGGATTTGGCAAATCTTCAAAGTCAATTGAAAAGCCGTCGCTAAAAAGTCGTTGCTATGTTCTACGAAAATCTTACATATGAAGCTGGTCAAATTCTCGTGAGAAAAATCATCCCGTAACCCGTGTGTCATATTTTACCTCAATAATACATAAAACAGGTAAAAAAATGAATTTTGAGAAGAACGCAAAACATGTGGACAGCAACAGGATTCGAACCCTCACCGGTCACCTGTGAGTCCGAGACGCTAACCACTACACCACACGACCACAGTCGGAGCATTTGTGCGTTCTCTAGACATGCACACGCCAAAAACTTTAGAGGGCCATAACTTGCTTCACAATAACGCGTCGCAGCTAATGGGCGCACATTTGATACTAACCTCCCGAGCCCCGCGTCCGGGTGTATACCACGCATCAATCGGCCATTTCGATTCGGCGAACTTCCCTTGTTAGAACTAAAGTGAAGTCCCCGATTGATGACAGTTTATCAATGTCTTGAAACGAGCTGATGCTGAAGATTTTATTGAGCCAGCGGCAACAAGTTGACGATGAAAGGATAAAGATTGTACACGATTGATCTTTTTCTGTAAACTTTTTGCATGAATAATAGCAAGGTTTTGAGCAGCATGAGCCGTTTCTTGATGCTGAAGCTTATAAGCCTTGTATGGGTCCCTTCCCTTAGTTGTTTTTATCTTTGCTTGTGTTTTGAAGACAAATGGTTACTTTGTTGTAACTCACGATGGGCAAGTTTGGGATCCACAAATCGTTTTTTGTACCGAATGGAAAGTATCTGTATGTCTGGTGATCTGAAACATTCATGAAGGGCGGACTCTCTGTTCAACAACTCAGGCTTTCCTTTCATCTGTCAGAAAAATGAAGGTCAAAGAGATCGGGTCTCCATCAAAAATTGCGAAGAAAGTCCCT